GCGGGTATCGGGAAATTCAGCGTTAGTTTGATTTTAAATTTAAAAGGCAACGTTCCTGCATTAGCGGAGGCTGCATTCACCGTAGAAACGGCATATGTCGGCTCAATCGGAAAATGACCTTCATTTCTAGCGCGCGATACAGATTTGAAAGTGTCTTTGGATAAAAGCATTTTAAAAATGACAACTTTAGTCATTTCGCAGACATTCTTATCCAGAGCGACTTCCAACTTACACGAGCATCAGTCTACATATTGGTGTTGACAAACAGTACATTTGCTTCCACAATTCCATCTTGTCATTCCACACAGAACTTCAGATCATTCCATACAACAAACTTTATTAACACGCTTGGCTGTGTACATACATGTAAAAAAATACAGCATGAGAAGACATTTCATCACAGAAAGCAGTTTGGTCTCGTCAGTCAAAATTATGAGCCACTTGGGGGTTCAAACTTCCACACGCAGCAAAATAGAAATGGGTTTTGTTTTTGTAAAATCATCTTTAGCAATTGTACATTTTGCCAACTAAATGCCCCAGATAATGGCAGGATTCAACATTTTTATTGATTTTAAAAAGAAATCCCCCATGAGGAAAAAAAGGAGACTGACAGACTACAAGGCCCCTTGTATACATTGATGGAGTGAGTGTTTTCAAAAATGACCTGTAGAGTTGGAAGCACGTTAACATGGTGGTTGAAAGACACCTCTACCGTTTGAAGTATTTTTGTTAGTGTGTGTTTAACTGCTGGACAGTTTATGGGTCTACCTGTTCTGTTGATCAACCCTCTACAGAGATGTTACAGGGCCTGTGTTCAAGTACAATTCAACCTGCGAATGACGTTTTGATATGTGGATGGATTACATCAAAAGTTGAACATAAAACCAATCAATAAGCCTATTATTAATACGAAACAAGTTACATGGAGAAACTAAACAATAGCACCTATAATGTGTCGGATGGACTCACATTCATTCACAACTCTAGAGTACTATACAGTTGAAACAACTAGAGTACTATAAAGTTGAAACAACTAGAGTACTATAAAGTTGAAACAACTAGAGTACTGCTCACTCCTTATGTATTTAAAAGCCATCGGAGTGCAGTAAGCATGGGATAGTGAAGTGAACGAGTGGACACTTCAGGTAGAAGGATAGTGGATTAGAACCTGCAGACTTTTCTCAACCACCCCCCACTTCTCCTAGACCTGCAGCCTTTGCTCCCCCCCCCCCCTCACTACTAGAACCGTGCAGGCCTTCTCCCCCCCCCCCCCTCCTAGAACTTGCAGCCTTCTCCCCCCCCCCATACTGAGAACCTTGCAGCCTTCTCCCCCCCCCCCATCTCCTAGAACCTTGCAGCCTTCTCCCACCCCCCCTCCCTCCTAGAACCTTGACAGCCTCTCCCCCCCCCCTCCCCTACTAGAACCTTGCAGCCTTCTCCCCACCCCCCTCCTCCCTAGAACCTTGCAGCTCTCCCCCCCCCCTCCTCCTAGAACCTTGCAGCCTTCTCCCCCCCCCTCCTCCTAGAACCTTGCAGCCTTCTCCCCCCCCCCCCTTCCTCCTAGAACCTTGCAGCCTTCTCCCCCCCCCCTCCTCCTAGAACCTTGCAGCCTTCTCCCCCCCCCCTCCTCCTAGAACCTTGCAGCCTTCTCCCCCCCCCCCCTCCTCCTAGAACCTTGCAGCCTTCTCCCCCCTCCTAGAACCTTGCAGCCTTCTCCCCACACCTTCTACCACCTTACAGCTCGTCTTCAATGTGGGTCCTGAAGGCATCTCCTGTCAGCTTCTCCTGGGCCTTCTTCATAGCAGACACAACTAGACAGACAGACCCCAGGGGAAACAGAGCAGTCAGTCGGAGAGGAATGAGAAGATTGACCTAAGCAAGGCACTGCAATGATTCAACCATCATCTTCATCATCCAAACAGACAATATGGGATTCTCACCTTGGTCTGCGTTGCTGTAAAAGTACTTGTAGTTGGGGTTTCCGTCTTTGTTGGTGATCTCAGGGTGGACTTTACCACTGGGGTCTGTGGGGTGGGAATGGACAGGAACAGGAATATTATGGGGGTTGGGAGCAGAGCAAATGATGAATTAAAAAGTACCGTACTATTCTAGTAGGCTCTTCTTACAGAATAACTATTATTAATGTAGAGACTTAGGAACAGTGTCCTGGGGATGTAGCCACCATCAGGACTGTTGGAGTTAGGGCTGTTGGAGTTAGGGCTGTTGGAGTTGGGGCTGTTGGAGTTGGGGCTGTTGGAGTTAGGGCTGTTGGAGTTGGGGCTGTTGGAGTTGGGGCTGTTGGAGTTGGGGCTGTTGGAGTTGGGGCTGTTGGAGTTGGGGCTGTTGGAGTTAGGGCTGTTGGAGTTAGGGCTGGGTTAGGGGTTAGAGTTCTTACCTAGGAACAGTGTCCTGGGGATGTAGCCACCATCAGGACTGTTAGGGCTGGGTTAGGGGTTAGAGTTCTTACCTAGGAACAGTATCCTGGGGATGTATCCACCATCAGGACTGTAGGCCTCATCTTTAGGTTCTTCCTCATCCTGAGAACATGAGATTAGTATGAGTTGAACTGATAAGTAGTGACATAGGGACCTGTTCTATACGTGGTTTCTTTAAAATGAGTCCGACGCGAAGGATATACTGCTTCTCCGAGACCAGGCCCAAATCCCCGTCATTCGCGTGAAAGACAAGACGGAAATACAGGGGGCGGAGATCGGGGTGCCTTGTGAGAATTTGTCGGCGAGTGGGTAAACCGCCTCTCTACCATCCGTTCTATTGGCCAACGTGCAATCACTGGAGAATAAACTGGATGAGCTCCGCTCGAGACTATCCTACCAACGGGACAAAACTGTAATATCTGATGTTTCACCGAGTCGTGGCTGAACGACGACATGGATAATATAGAGCTGGCTGGGTTTTCTGTGCATCGGCAGGACAGAGCAGCGACGTCTGGTAAGACGAGGGGCGGGGGTGTTTGTATTTGTCAATAACAGCTGGTGCGCGATGTCTAATATTAAAGAAGTCTCAAGGTATTGCTCGCCTGAGGTAGAGTATCTCATGATAAGCTGTAGACCCACTATCTACCAAGAGAGTTTTCATCTATATTTTTCGTAGCCGTCTATTTACCACCACAAACCGATGCTGGCACTAAGACCGCACTCAACGAGCTGTATACGGCCATAAGCAAACAAGAAAATGCTCATCCAGAGGCGGCGCTCCTAGTGGCCGGGGACTTTAATGCAGGCAAACTTAAATCTGTTTTACCTCATTTCTCTACCAGCATGTCACATAATATAATTTATCCAAAGCGACTTAGTCATGTGTGCATACATTTTTACGTATGGGTGGTCCCGGGGATCGAACCCACTACCCTGGCGTTACAAGCGCCGTGCTCTACCAATTGAGCTACAGAGGACCACATGTGCAACCAGAGGGAGAAAAAAAAACTCTAGACCACCTTTATTCCACATACCGAGACGCATACAAAGCTCTCCCTCACCCTCCATTTGGCAAATCTGACCATAATTCTGTCCTTCTGATTCCTGTTTACAAGCAAAAACTAAAACAGGAAGTACCAGTGACTCGCTCAATACGGAAGTGGTCAGATGACGCAGATGCTAAGCTACAGGACTGTTTCGCTAGCACAGACTGGAATATGTTCTGGGATTCATCCGATGGCAAAAAATGAATCATAAGGTTTTGAAGTGTCTGTCCTATATCTAGGAGATAAAAAAATATCAGGAAATATTTGTTTTGTTGGACACATTTAACCCCTTATTTTTGTTGGCACATAAACAAACCATGGTGTTCTCCCCCTTTCCGTATAAACCGTTCGGACGCTACGTCTCACAGTCTGACAAACACCGCTCTAGCTCTGTCACCTTTCACCGCAGATGAGGAAGGACAACAAAGGAGGATGAGGTGGATTGAGACGCAGCCCATGCAAAAAAAAAACTATATCTAGCTTAAACTGACAGATTCTGATGGGGAATTTTCTATTAAGTTACTTAGATTGACGCACAGATGCGTCAATAGACTCTTAATAATTAAACAGTCCATTATCCTCACCTCCAGGTTGACCATGACGAAGTTGTGAGCCAGCTCAGAGATCTCCTTGGACTCAGCGAACTTGGGCTTCAGAGCTGAAGGGAGAAAACTGAACATGATGATGATGGCTTCATTGTGCAGGAGATGACATGGCTGTTTTGTAAATGTAATCAGGTTATTATAAGAGGAAGGTCTTTACCTTTGCAGGCTCCACACCAGGTCTTGTGGACGATGACCATCAGTGGCAGTCCACTGTGAAGAGGATAAGTAATGTGTTAAAGTACTGTACGCAAACTCGCCAATGGTTCCATACAATTGATATCCTCCTAGCAAGAGAGGCCAGGGGTATATTCATTAGCCGAACAGTTGCAAAACATTTTTTGCACCGTAAACTTTACTCAAAACGAGTTTGCTTCCATTTGGTTCCTAGTGAATACACCCCATTAGCTCTTCCAGAGGTATTTATATCAGGGTTAAATATCCTTACCTGGCCTCTGCCTCCTTCTTCCCATCGTCCAGACTCCTCCAGTGGATGTTGTCTCCGAACCCTGGGGGAGAATCACATTTGAGTGTCAGGCTTTTTGCGTAACTGGTTAACCAGGACATGGGGTGGGTCTACTCTTCGCTAAAAGAGATGAAGGGATCATTGCTGGGAACTGAACACAGGGAACAAAGAATGCAAGATTCACTGTAACTTGATCTCACTCTGCTGCTGATATGACTGCAGGGTGGCTTGTGTACTATGGATATTGTAGCCAAACTAACTAGGTCTCAGAGAAAGTTTCCATTCTACTTTGTCTATATAGTTGCATGGTGAGAAATTAGAGAAAAGATTGTTATCAATAATTGCACATCAGATGAAGAATTCATTTTCTAGTACAAGAAGAGGTTCTATCACCCTAGCCCAGGGATAATCAACTAGATTCAGAAGCGGCCTGGTCAACTGTAAGTGCTGTTATTGTAAAGTGGAAACGTCTAGGAGCAACAACGGCTCAGTCGCGAAGTGGTAGGCCACACACAAGCTCACAGAACGGGACCGGCGAGTGCTGAAGCGCGTAAAGATCGTCTGTCCTCGGTTGCAACACTCACTACAGAGTTCCAAACTGCCTCTGGAAGCAACGTCAGCACAATAACTGTTAGTCGGGAGCTTCATGAAATGGGTTTCCATGGCTGAGCAGCTGCACACAAGCCGAAGATCACCATGCGCAATGCCAAGCGTTGGCTGGAGTGGTGTAAAGCTCACCGCCATTGGACTCTGGAGCAGTGGAAACACGTTCTCTGTAGTGATGAATCACGCTTCACCATCTGGCAGTCCGACGGATGAATCTGGGTTTGGCAGATGCCAGGAGAACGCTACCTGCCCCAATGCATAGTACCAACTGTAACGTTTGGTGGAGGAGGAATAATGGTCTGGGGCTGTTTTTTATGGTTCGGGCTAGGCCCCTTAGTTCCAGTGAAGGGAATCTTAATGCTACAGCATACAATGACATTCTAGACGATTCTGTGCTTCCAACTTTGTGGCAACAGTTTGGGGAAGGCCATTTCCTGTTTCAGCATGACAATGCCTCCGTGTACAAAGCGAGGTCCATACAGAAATGGTTTGTCGAGATCGGTGTAGAAGAACTTGACTGGCCTGCACAGAGCCCTGATCATAACTCCATCTTACACCTTTGGGATGAATTGGAATGCTGACTGCGAGCCAGGCCTAATCGCCCAACATCAGTGCCCCGACCTCACTAATGCTCTTGTGGCTGAATGGAAGCAAGTCCCCGCAGCAATGTTCCAACATCTAGTGGAAAGCCTTCCCAGAAGAGTGGAGGCTGTTATAGCAGCAAAGGGGGGACCAACTCCATATTAATGCCTATGATTTTGGACTGAGATGTTTGACGACCATCTTTTGGTCATGTAGTGAATATTGTCCATGGCAAAAATGAAAACACAAAGCAGACTTAAGTCTTTGGTCCTTTAAAAACCTGCTGTATGTAAAATATTGTGTGCTATAGCTTAAAATAAAAAGATTGACAACATAATGATGTTTGTTTCCAACATTAGGGCTGTTTTCCTAAAGAAGTAAAATCTGCTTCGTGTTTTGTTTCCTTACCACGATAATAACGAGTATCGCGATACTGTTATTGTCCCTGGCCTAATCAATAATACAGTGTGATTAACATAGCACACCATTGCTTCCTTGTGACCTTGGGGGAGAAGTGGGAGATGAGAGGAGAGGAGGACGTACTCCATTGAGGCCAACCAACAGAATAGGAGCAGAAGAGACTCCAACCTGACTGCTGGAAACACAAGAGAAACAACTTGGTGAGGTGAGCACACACACACCAATTCTCTGTAGCCTCTTGCATGGTGTTCGTTTCAATACTTGACCCTGGGAACTGTCGCAAACATGAACCTCTCCTGTCTCCATCTCCCTCTCCCTTACAGGTTTCACAGGGGGACTATGAGGCACAGATACAGGAGGCATGAGGCAGATGACAGGATAAAAACAGAGGGAGGGATGGATGGGAGGACAGAGAAGAGGTGTTGCCCTGCCCAAACCAGCCCCCCACTCCTGATCTGAGGACACACACACACGTTAGAGCCAGCCATACCCTTCCCTTTAGAGCCAGCAATGGCTTTTTTCTGGCCACTCTTCCGTAAAGCCCAGCTCTGTGGAGTGTACAGCTTAAAGTGGTCCTATGGACAGATACTCCAATCTCCGCTGTGGAGCTTTGCAGCTCCTTCAGGGTTATCTTTGGTCTCTTTGTTGCCTCTCTGATTAATGCCCTCCTTGCCTGGTCCGTGAGTTTTGGTCGGCGGCCCTCTCTTGGCAGGTTTGTTGTGGTGCCATATTCTTTCAATTTTCTAATAATGGATTTAAATGGTGCTCTGTGGGATGTTCAAAGTTTCGGATATTTTTTTTTTATAACCCAACCCTGATCTGTACTTCTCCACAACTTTTTCCCTGACCTGTTTGGAGAGCGCTTTGGTCTTCATGGCGTCGCTTGCTTGGTGGTGCCCTTGCTTAGTGGTGTTGCAAGCCTTTCAGAACAGGTGTATATATACTAAGATCATGTGACAGATCATGTGACACTTAGATTGCACACAGGTGGACTTTATTTAACTAATTATGTGACTTCTGCAGGTAATTGGTTGCACCAGATCTTATTTAGGGGCTTCATAGCAAAGGTGGTGAATACATATGCACGCACCACTTTTCCGTTATGTATTTTTTTCGATTTTTTTTAAACAAGTTATTTTATTTTACTTCACCGATTTGGGCTATTTTGTGTGTGTCCATTACATGAAATCCAAATAAAAATCAATTTAAATTTCAGGTTGTAATGCAACAAAATAGGAAAAACGCCAAGGGGGATGAATACTTTTGCAAGGCACTGTAGGCCTAGCATATTCCCACATTCAAGGAAATTTCCATTTTTATTGGGTTATTTAGCTTACTAACCTAGCTTGCTGGCTAACTTTGGCTAACAGTACGATCAGATGCCCATGTCAAAACTACTGTAATTTACTTTGTTAAAATTGAATTAGGTTCCCTCAATGTTCACTTTCCCCATCTTGTAGCAGGCATAATATGGGCATCTTATGCTTTCCAATGTTAATGACAATAGATTGTTGATCTACCAGTGGCATGCATGTCACAGTGTTTACCTTCCGTTTTTACTGTGTTAAAATTGAATAAGAATCCCTCAAAGTTCACTATAATAGGACGAAACAATTATTTTCCCCATCTTCGAGCTGGCATAATATGGGCATGTTTTGCTTTACAACCTTCATGACAATGGAGTATCGATCTACTAGTGGCACACATCTCGAAAAAAGTCTACCAGACATTTTTTACATTGGTAAATTATTTTGACATGGGGTCATCAACGTTCACTGTAATATAACTTTTTTATTTATTTATTATAAAGACAAAGAATGTGGGGATAGACCAAGTAAAATGTAGTTATTCAACACTCTTAATTATTATACTGTGTTAAAAACACTCACTATTCCACATTTTGTTACGTTACAGCCTTATTCTAAAATTGATTAAATTACTTTTTTTCCCTCATCAATCTACACACAATTACCCATAATGACAAAGCGAAAATAGGTTTAGAAGGTTTTGCAAATGTTTAAAAAATAAAAAAAAACATGCCTTATTTACATAAGTATTCAGCCCCTTTGCTATGAGACTCGAAATTGAGCTCAGGTGCATCCTGTTTCCACTGATCATCCTTGAGATCTTTCTACAACTTGATTGGAGTCCACCTGTGGTAAATTCAATTGATTGGACATGATTTGGAAAGGCACACACCTGTCTATATAAGGTCCCACAGTTGACAGTGCATGTCAGAGCAAAAACCAAGCCATGAGGTCGAAGGAATTGTCCGTAGAGCTCCGAGACAGGATTGTGTCGAGGCACAGATCTGGGGAAGGGTACCAAAACATTTCTGCAGCATTTAAGGTCCCCAAGAACACAGTGGCCTCCATCATTCTTAAATGGAACAAGTTTGGAACCACCAAGACTTCCTAGAGCTGGCCGCCGGCCAACCTGAGCAATCGGGGGAGAAGGGCCTGACAATGAACACAACTGCATTTTATCGATGGCACTTTTAATAAATCAAGTCACATTATATTTACCACATGCGCCGAATACAACAGGTGTAGACATTACAGTGAAATGCTTACTTACAAGCCCTTAAAAAATAAAAATAAAATAAAAAAATGCATTGTTGGTTAAGTGTTAAGTAAAAAAAATAAAAGCAAATAACTAAAGAGCAGCAGTAAAATAAAATAACAGTAGGGAGGCTATGTACAGGGGGTACCGGTACAGAGTCAATGTGCAGGGGCACCGGCTAGTTGAGGTAGTTGAGGTAATATGTACATGTGGGTAGAGTTAAAGTGACTATGCATAAGTAATAGACAGAGTAGCAGCAACGTAAAAGAGGGGGGTGGGGGGGCAGTGCAAATAGTCTGGGTAGCAATGATTATCTGTTCAGGAGTCTTATGGCTTGGGGGTAGAAGCTGTTGAGAAGCCTTTTGGACCTAGACTTGGCGCACCGGTACCGCTTGCCGTGCGGTAGCAGAGAGAACAGTCTATGACTAGGGTGGCTGGAGTCTTTGACAATTTTGAGGGCCTTCCTCTGACACCGCCTGGTATAGAGGTCCTGGATGGCAGGAAGCTTGGCCCCAGTGATGTACTGGGCCGTACGCACTACCCTCTGTAGTGCCTTGCCGTCGGAGGCTGAGCAGTTGCCATACCAGGCGGTGATGCAACCAGTTAGGATGCTCTCGATGGTGCAGCTGTATAACATTGAGGATCTGAGGACCCATGCCAAATATTTTCTGTCTCCTGAGGGGGAATAGGCTTTGTCGTGCCCTCTTCACGACTGTCTTGATGTATTTGGACCATGATAGTTTGTTGGTGATGTGGACACAAAGGAACCTGAAGCTCTCAACCTGTTCCACTACAGCCAAGTCGATGAGAATGGGGGCGTGCTCAGTCCTCTTTTTTCCTGTAGTCCACAATCATCTCCTTTGTCTTGGTCAC